TTTAATCTAAATAAATTTTAATCGCAATAAAATTGCGAGTTCCTTCTCCGCTCGAGTGCTGGAATACATTAGTATAGCTACATACTGTATGCCTTCAAATCTGAGTATATAAAATTGTTTAGTAGCTACATTTCCTTAAGCATGAAGGCGGTGGTACTCAAAGCAACTTTTCTTTCAATGCAATTCTACTCCTAAGGCATGTAAAGTTTTCCATGCAGTACGAACATTTCTTACAATCTTTTAACGTTTTCTTAGCATTTTGAACACTCTTCACAAATAACAGCCCCCAAAATTAGAATTGCATTGCAAGTTGCAAGGAAGTTGCATAGTGTAGATTCAAACATGGTAATCTAAATTAAAACTTTATAGATATATAGAGGTATGAGAAATGCAATCTGAGCTTATGTAATATAGGAACATTATACATTTGCATTGAAACAAACCTGTTCGACAAATGGAAGTATATTTAGCATCCAACACAAAAAGTCTTTTAGGATTCCCTGTATATGTTCCAGAATTTGACAGGATGTATAAACTATTGGTAGATGATAAAATCTCGATATTGCTGCTCCCATTTGAACCACAATATGTGGCAAGAACAGGCGCTTTGTCATTTGAACCATCGTATGTTCTCAGAAATGTGTTATTACAGCTTGATGTCAAAAGTTGCTAAATGCTCAAAAGGACATTACAATTTTTAGCAACAGTAATCGACCAGGAACAAAATTGCGAGTTTAATTCTGAATTATGCGATGTAAATGAACCGTTAGGTTCAACCATTGTACGTCGGCAATCTAAAAAAGAAACGAACTATCAGGTATTGGCTGTCGGTGTGGTCATGATTTAGCAAGATCTACGACCAAACTTGCAAAATCGTGACCACGTAAGATCCAGATCTTGAAAACCTAAAGTTACTTCAAGATGGACTTCTAGACGTTATATGCATGCATATAACTGCAACGGCAAACTTCACTACGTCAAAACAATAATAAATTTCTATGGTAGGAAAAATGGGAAATGGACTTAAGTGTTGTCCGAGATTGGAACGACAACTGATAGTTATACTTTTAAATTAACATCAGCCAGGGAGAGGCGCAGTGGGGAATTTATTATAGCTGTGGCCCAGACTGCCAGTCGATGTCCCACCCTGTTTCCAGGGGCGTAACGACAGGGCGATGATTGGACTGGGGGTGTGTTTATTCATATATTCAATTCTGCGCGACGGATTTCTATTGTAAGCTATTGTAAACACAAAAGAAATCCGTCGGACAGAACTGATTAGAATTTATTAATTGAATCAATTTGAAAGAAAAAAACTGACATACTTTCATAATAACAGTACTGGACACCGAATGTAGTCGAGCTTGTTACTGGAACATGACTCCCCCAATGTCTATCGTTATTGTCGTCATTTTCTGTATCGAACCAAATCTCCTCCAAGTAATTAACCGCCCATTTGACTATCTGACATCGATCATACTTAAAATTGGTTGGCATGAGATAAAATGGTTGACTGACTGGCAGTTCAATCGGGTCATACCAATTACCATTAGTTTGACAACAGTAATGAATTTTGGTATCATGATTATATTCACCATCAGGTAACCATCCTCCTTTCCTGTTGTGATTATTGATATTTTCATCATCCCAAAGCACCCAGCCTGAATTCATATTTTCTGGACATGTTGCGTCTTTACTCTTGTAAATACAATAGGAACCTTTCAAGACAAAAAAGATTGTCACGAACCCAGATTTATATGTCCCAAACATAAGTTTTGCGGTGACTATGACACGTCAATCTTCATGCAACAGCATCTTCACTTTAAACTACTTGAAACGAGAGACAAGAGAAAAGTAAATATATGTTATTTACCAGCTGCGAGATCCGGCCGGGATTGAAAAATATTTTCACGTGGCATCAAAAACGACCCCGGGGCCCGGCCGCAGGCCGAGAGACGTTTTGAGACCGAGGGGAAATATTTTTCTATCCGGAACGACCAAAACGGTAAATAACGTATTTATTTTTTTACAAAATGGCGACGTTAGGTCGTATTATAATTGTGTAGTCAGACTCCGCAATGGCGACAAAAATATAAACAATCAAACAAACCTCGTTCGATTAATTTACTATTATATAAATTTACTTCAATTTATCGTGATAATGATTTGGTCCATATATTTTAAAATAAAAAAGTCAAAAGTTTGCGAATAAAACTTTAGAAAAACAAAGCAAATACGCTTTCGCCCGAGCATAAAATACAGGATTCCGAACCGTAGCGAGATGTCGTAAAACTCCGCCCGCTGCTACAGCCAATCAGATGGCAGGAAAGGCTAGGATTCCGCCCGCTGCAGATTTGTAAAAAAATAATGCCTATTTTTAAATGAAAGTATCATGCAAAGATTTCTAACAAATATTGTAACTGCCCACTGTGTATATTATTTTCTCTGCTGCACATATAATAACATGGATTCCGGACAGTTCAGTTAGGGACTGACTAAGGGGCCTGTATTGTAACAAATTCTGCAACATCAGTCATCAGATCTTTCATACTCTCCGCTTGTCAAAAATAGAATATTTTACCTTGAGGCCAGGATCTTGTTTGCATTCCGTCGTTTTGTTTCATGCAGAAACTCCTCAATATATCTTTTTTCCTTCCTATAACTTGAATGTCCAAATTCGATGAGCCCAATGATGATCCATATTTTCTATCGTCTTCCATATCTTGAAACCTCCATCCTTCACGCCATTCGCTTGACTCACTTTCTGGACAACCTGACTTTGGCTTAGGAAAACCGTATTTTCCACTTGGCCAGTCATCATCTGCAATATAATCGGCGGATATATTAAACATATGTTTTTTACCAGATTGGAGGTCCGTATAGGGAAATATTTCCCAAGGTCAAAAAAACAGTTTAAAGTTTCTTTATCACGAAAAGAAAATCAGTTTTAAAAGCTGACAAGGTCTTTTGGTAAATGTGTATCATCATTATTATTTGGAATATCACAAATCAGATTTTCCATACCACCTCATGCTATAAGATTGTTTTGTATTGAGTAGCATACCTTGGGCTTCGACAAAAGAAATAGCCAAATCAAGTAAACAAGCCAAAAATATCACGCAGCTGATGCAGAATATCTTCCTCTTCATAACCTAATGATAAAGTGGAGAAATAAAACTCACTGACACGTAGTCGTCAGGGTATTGGATGATCCCAACTGCTGATTACATTTGGATCTACAGAAAATAAACAAAATCCAGCACCACAGTTTTAAAGATTTTGGTTTCGAAATGATGTAAATATGACATTTATTTCTTAATTGTTTTCCGCGTAAGTGACTAAGCAAGTACCTTAATGGCAGGAATCACCCCCCCCCCTGCCCGTATTGAAAATTGGGAAGTTGGGGGGGGGGTGATCGCCTCTATTTACGGTACTTGGTGAGTGACGAATCCGCTAACGCAAAAAAAATCAATGGAGTTGTCGTTCTGATAGGTACTCTGAAATCATTTCTCCCTTTGTAAAATCATGACAGTCAATTATGACAGTCAATGATCACTATCCTCTGAAAAACGAAAAATCTCGAGTAATATATTCGAGACAGAATTGAAAACAAATATATTTGAACAAAGAAATCATTTATTTTGTCCGAACAGAATATTGTAGCGCGACCAAATCCGGTCTTTGTTTTGTCATATAGCTTTGCCAATTTGTGTCTCTCGGCAAATATGTGCGCATGCCTGATTCAGGCACGGAGGATGACAGTTCAGAGAACAGGCTAGAGTTAAGACTTTCACATCTACATAGAGCTAACATCTCGCATATCTGGAGAATAATTCTCGTCAGTTAAACCGGACACACTTCAGGCAAGGCATATAGTCCATATATATCAACCGACATGTCAAAAAAACAATCTAACAAGTTTAAGCTAATCACCGATTCGGTTTACACAGGAACTTATTTTATCCGTTACACAAATTAAATGTTATTGGTATCTCAATATTATGAACATAATTGACATTATTGTAGATGTTTATGAATTCGTTCTCTTTACACACCACCAACATTCGTAATTACATCCCATATAATATCACGAAGGAAGTGGAAAATGCCAGTGGTATAAGTGATTATGACCTGGGTTTTGCCTTTCTGCCGGAGTATTCAACTACCAGGAAACTATTGGTCAGTAAATTAACGGTAAATTATTGGAAATATCACATATTCAAAGCACTTACCCTCATGCTACACAGATATAACACCAAATCACAACGGAATACAATGCGTCTGGTTTAACAATACGATGGAGGAATATGCATCAATCATGTATATACCCTCAAAATATTTCTCAAATTAAATTTGTCCAATCGGAAAACAGTATTCGTACCACATGACTGTTTGATTTTTCACATTGTCGTAATCCTGTATTTGATTTCAAAGGTGGGGGTGTGATATCAAAAATATCACGCTGCGATTTTAATTACATCTCACGCGACCTCTCGCGAGGACTACGCACACAGGCGAGATTGCAAAATAAATTTAAAAATGTGGCGAAAGTTATCAACGATTACATCTACAGTTTTACATCCTAGCTCTGCTTGAGAAAGCCCTCGCATATTTTCGACCCTGATTTGAATAAAATATTTTTCCGAATCAATCACAATTGCTTCGGATAATTAAATCACAGATATTGATTAGTGTTTCAATATAATCAGGAAGCAGAGCGGCAGCGTCTTTTAATATCTTTCCAATGTGGTATAACAACTGCAATAGACAAAAGCGATGCTCGAAGTTTCGACGCAAGGACTTTCGCCAGGGGAGTTGATGTGAAAAGAAAACATAGGAAAGCACATGCATGGCTCGTATCAGCGCGAACAAATATAAACCAAATAAAAATAAACCAGACCAATATTCATCCATTTTGAAAGGAGTTGCATGAAGAAATCAATCTTAATCAATTAAACATATCTAGGTTTCTTTCGCTGTTCAAAATAAAATCACCTTAATCTTTATTCAAAAAACATTTGCCAACCAGAACATCTGATTTTAAAGAGCTGTACTTTCTATTCTAATACCCATATACCCAAAAAACTACATAAGTATAATTAAGGAAAATTAAACATAACGACGAGCACCTCGTAGTACATCTGCTTAAGCTTGGTAAAGAAGATTCAAACACGTCTGAGGTAGTGGCAACGGTGTAATGTACAACGAACCCCAGACAAACACTAAACAGTTATAGTCAAGCATGAAGGGAGTTCGTTAACGGACTTGCATGTTTGAGACTGTCAAAACTGTTGTAGCTGGCACTGAAGAGAGGTTTTCAATATGGCTAGCATCAGTATGTAGAATGTTAGTTGTAGATAGTTAAAACAATAAAATCCGACACTAATTAACCACTTTTAACTAAACTCTGAACTAAACTCCGCATGATTTCTACACTAAGGCTCACTCTAACACGAACGTTTCATTAAACCTGGATGCCATCCACGTTCGTCTTGAGATGTGTTAACGAGAAATTACATCATTCATGTGGATGGTCTTTAGTGGAATTTAGTGGAGTCATAGCAATCGCTGGTAAAGAATTGTTTTCCATATTTTCGTATTCCGGATACTGATCTTCATCCATACCTAAAGATAGAAAGCAGTCCCTGGTAGTGACTTTGACGTCTACAATAGTTTTCCTTTTTTTTGGGATAGATCCGCATTATTTCCAAAGAAACGTACTGACTTTACCTTCGCTGTTACTTTGAGGATCCCCTAGTTTATTCTCATGAAAATCAGCATCCCCAGGATTTTGTGAAGGTGTCTTAGGCTCACCGTAGACCTCTACGGTTTCTGTTTGTGACGTGGGGGGTATGACGTATTCCTCCTCTTCTATTTCCGAGAAAACTTCAAAATCCGGATAACGCGGTTCCTAGAAATTGGAAAAAAACAGAAAATTCATTTTCATGGCGAACTAGAAAGCTAATGATAAAGAAAACGTCAAAGGTGTTATAAATATATCACTCGGAATTTCGTTTTGAACTTCCCAACATAATTATATAAACTTCCTGTCGTAGTACACTAATAGACTGTCGATTATTCACTTTTCACCATATTCTGTCCCTGGAAACAAGGTTTGATATGGCCTGCATTCACGTTCAAAGTGCATACTCGTATTTCAAGTATATACCATATCGGTTATATAGTGCTCACCGACAAACTAATTTGAGCAAAAAAATAAATATACCCGAAGGTACATAAAGGCGATGATATGAGCATGCTTCTGCTGCAGGCTTGATTGCAAAATCTTTAATCTTTAATCCTTAAATTCTATTTTCATTGGAAAAAGTCACTGGAGCAGCCCTAGGTAGATTTCTAGACCTATGAATGGCAAAACTATAGTAAGAATTACCTGGTATAGAGGCGATTGCTCTGGTGGCAGCTCAACTTCTTCCATTGGAATATTGACAGGACTCGGTGATTTTTGAGGTGGTGCTTCTGGTGTCCTCTTCCGATGATTGTATTTTACGCATAAAAAAACGACGTTTAGTAAAATGCTCAGTAATAGACATCCACCAAGTGCAAAGGCTAGCACTGTTTGTCGTTGCGTTAAAAAGAATATAGAAAAAATGCCATTATAAACCTTTACTCTTGTATAATCATAGAATGGCTAGCACAAATTCTTTCTTTTGGACCACTTTGAACATTGGTTAGATGGAACATGAAATAGCTTTAGATATTTAGCACTATAATAAAAAGCTACCTTTTCTAGATGTTGTGATCGCTCAATTTTTCAAATGATTTATAACTCTTCTACGAAGTTTTCTCTGTCCTTTATTTATTTGACCTCACATTCTCACAATAATTTCTCATTTTAAATCAAAAGTTTGTATTCAGCCGTTTGGAGTCGAAATAAATTATTGCAGCTCATAAATTATTTGGATAGAATAATATCTAGAATGGATTTTAGAATTGGTGGGTTCCAAAGCATTCTACGAGAACATTTAAATACGTTTGTAAAGAAAAAAATCTCACTTGCCTTCAAGATTAGTAAAAGTTTGTGAACTTTTATCTTTGGTAGATTTTTCTAAAGAAAATCAATTCATTTTTTAATTGGTAAAATATTGAACCTTATTGCTTGAAATCCTTTCCAGTTTACTAACCTGTCCGGTTTTCGGAAGAGTAGCTGGCTTTAAAAGTTACTGTAGCGATGTTCTTAGCATCTCTTTCAGGGTTTCCAGAATTTGATACGATATACAAACTATTTGTATGTGATAAAACCTTGACTTCTTTGCTTGCATTTGACCCGCAGTATGTGCCATACAACGGAGCTGACTCGTTCGCACCATCGTATATTCTTAGAAATGTATCATTACAGCTAAGTACAACCAAACTTTTGAATTCCAAAGAAATTACGTATTGATCAGCAACCGTAATTAACCAGGAGCAATATTGCGAGTGTCGCTCCATTTCACTGCCTGATGCTTTATGTGAGTAAAAGGAATCCCTGGAAGCGGTCATTCGATGACGGCAATCTGTAATAAAGACGGACTATCATGACCACGATACATGTACGAAATTTCAGTCATTTACTAGTTTCGATTATTCCACTGGGCGTGGTAGTTATAAGAATCAAAAGAAAGAACAACAGAGTTACCTTTGTAGTAACAATAGTACACGGTATTATTTTCAATGAACACGTGGTCGCCACCCTGACTATCGCTATTATTGTCATTCTCTGTATCAAAAACAAGATACTCCAAGTAACTAAACGCCCACTTGACCATCTGACATTTAGGAAGCTCGGTGGAGTTGGTTGTTAATAAATAAAACGGTTCTTCGACTGGTAGTTCGATCGAATCATAGTAATTTCCATCATTCTGACAACAGTAAAAAATCTTGGTATTATTGACATATGAGCCATCCGGCGAAACTCTTCCAACTTTAGTTTGGGGACTTTCATTTTCATCATCCCAGAACACCCATCCTGGCGTCATGCCCGGGGGACAAGATTGGTTGTTACTCTTGTAAACGCAATATTCACCTGTGAAAAAAGCATTTTCAGTGGCAAATTTTTTACACGAGAGCTAATTTCAGTTTTGTGGGAACTCCTTCACGGGATTTCTACTCGATTAAGAGCTTGACTTTATCTTAAATTTTTTCATTGGTTAAGAAAGAACTTTCTCATTGATCAGTAATAACATGTACCACACACTCATACCGTGAAGGAGTCCCACTAAAAAAAAATTAAATATAGCTCTCGTGTAAAAAATTTTTCGGTGCATGGATACAGGCGATAGTTTAGCTCTATCGTGACATAGAAATTTTTTGACATAGAAATTTATGTAAAATATATAGAAATTTTGCTATCACTTTGTCGATTTAAGGTGGCATTGAAAATCAAGCTATTGTTTGACTGAAAATACTGCCATGGAAAAGTTAAGAAGAATGAGATCTTCCACTCCATGAGTGTGAGACCAGGGAGTGTTGTAAATCATAACCAATAGGCTGAAAGGAGATACATGTGTTGTTAGACCTATATATCCGTTTATATAATGTAGAGGTTTAAGGGTCATAAAATTTCGAGTGGAATTATACACACTTCAAATTCAAGCCAGGTAGAGTTGATGGAAAAATTAGTCAACTATAGTTCCTCCGGCAGAAATCGAACCTACGCTTTTGCGAATCCGGTGCAATGTTCTTGTCACTGAGCATTGCACCGACATACGCAAAAGTGATTCCTGCCTGAGTACCTATAGTTGACTAATTTTTCCATCAACTGTTCCTGGCTTGAATTTGAAGTGTGTATAATTCCACTCGAAATTAAGATCCTTAAACCTCTAGAATTTACCTGCATCGAGTGAAGTGCCAAAAATCATAATTTTTTATATAACATAGGTGCATTCTGTAATCGAGTGAATGTGAAATTGTCCCCTGGGGGTTAAACTGATATCACCTTATACACCTATTATGTCACAACCTACACATACGAGTCTTTGGGTTTAAGAAATGAAAATATGTCAAGAAAGTGCATATGCTGTATAATAAAAATCATCCTACCTTTAGGCCATGGCCTTGAATGAGCGGTAGTGCTATTTTTCATGCAGAAAAACCTGAGAATATTATTTCCATAGTCAAAGAAAGCAAATTCCATATGTGATCCGTTGGACTTTCTTGAAGTGGAATTCGAATAGGTAGGATTGTCTTCCAAATCTTGATATATCCAGCCTTGCTGCCATACTTCCGACTCACAATTTGGACACTCCGTTATAGGCTTAGGAAGACCATATGCACCCGTTGGCCAACTAACATTATCAGCAACTACAAGTATATGTTCTTTTGTGATATAAGAGATTTTTGCGTATTAATAAATTATAGCATTAATTCATTCTGTCAAATTGCCCTTCACTCAGTGCAATTCCCCTTATTCTGAACCAACACCACGCAAAATTTGGTACTAACAACTAACACGCTATTTCGAAGTAGGATGATCAGTCTCAGGGGCATATCCTAACCATGCAAGATCGAAGATATACCATATATACATGTATACTCAAACCCACCAAGGTGGAATATACAGTATTCCGGTTTATTATATGTGTATATAGACGTTTATGCACAGCAAAATGATGAAATAAAAATCCTATTTGACCGTGTAAATTAATTTTATGCAATTTCATTGGACGTACGATGTTTTTCATGGGTGGAAAAAATGCCATACACGGCTTTTGATTGGACGTACGATATTCTTCACAGTGAAAGATTGTCGTATGCAATTTTGGCGGCAATTAATTTGTTTACATTTTCTTTCAAGATGGCGTCGAAATATAGAAGATTCAAAACATAAATCTCATATTCAAGATATTTTAACATTCAGCACATTATCAAATCTTTCAGAAAGAATATCTAACTTCTATTGAACAAAATCGCAAAGAAACTGAACGGTAATAAATATGTTTTGATGCGTAAATTTCGATTTTTGTTGCTCGCTGTGTTTTTGACTTTGTGGTATATTCGACCTTTCCCATGTCGAATAATTTATAACGATACCATATTCCGGTATATTTGGTCTACACTATTCATCCTGCCAGTTTGTTTTATACCTTTCCATAGATTAGTCAACGTTAACCTGACCGCGACTATACTATACATTGGTATCTTTAATAAGGAATTTAGGAGGTAAGCGTCTAGGTCTCAGTTTATTACCAAGCTTAAGCTTTGTATTTCATTTTTGGTGCTTGTGAAATCAATCGCATCAGATCTACCCCTAGCCCTGATCAGTCTGCCATATGACAGACATCGAGTCTAAACACATGCAATTGACAAAACGATTAAGCATACAATTGGCATGGCCACGCGTTTCGATGATCAGACACAATAATATGCCCGCAATCCGGATAGTTATTTGCATGATGACCTATAAAAGAAAAAAAACAGATCGAGTATACGGAATGAAATGCTGTTAGAAATCGTTGAAAAGAGATTTTAGAGGAAATAATTCATAGAAAGTTATTTTCTTTCTTTATGTTAGAATTTGAATTACTTAGAAGTTACTTCGCCACGTTTAATTTCAATCATTTGTGATTCATGCTTGCAAAATTGTTGTAAATATTAATATACTTCTCGTGGATTATCGATAAAGTGCCATCGACAAGGAAATGTTAATTGTTGTTTCAGGTGCAATATACCTTATGCATAGTAACAAGTTTTGACGCAGGCAAGGAATCAGTTCTGGTTGTAGAAGTCGTAACTAATAAAACCAGTATTCTCGGCAGACGTCACGGCTTGACGTCATTATGCATAAGTTCAATAGTCAACAGGTTAAGTTAACTAAGGCGATAGTATATTATCCAGATTCCTGTTTATCTAAAATACTGTAGTTTATCGTCTATAATCTGATAAAACAATCTAAAGGTTTGAATTTGGTACTATGGCACGAGACTATACACATTCCTTTAATTTGCCTCTGCTAAATTGCTAATTGCCTCTGCAGAAATATAGAACAATATCGGACAATCAAAAGCACGCATCTTGTAACTGAAGTCCGGGTCACGAGTGAGAGTTGATAAGACTTAAGAAGCAAGAGTTTTCCAAACTCTCGTGCGATAGTCAAGCGAGAATGAGTTTTGAGAAGCAAGAGTTCACCGGGTGTCACCACGCACGTAGCAGGGACTAATTTGTACTATTTTGTATGTATTGTAGCTTGTATCTATTTTTCTGAGCCTGCTACAACAAAGTACAAACCGCTAGCTATTTTGCAACTCTTCTAACTTCCATGACCGACCAAAGAAACACGAACTTTCATCAAAATTTGAACCCATTTATTTAAAGTCGACGAGAGTGCACGAGAGTTCGCAGTCAAATGGAGGCGAGAGATGCAACTCTCATTAACTCTCATTCTCGTTTGACCCGGGCTTTACATTATGGTTAAATCTTTCTATAGGAAGCATTTATCTTTGCATAAGCTGTCTGAAAATATTTCATTTTATTCTGTTTGATATATTCTCTATTAGCAGTTTTGAAGTTTTACCTCGTGACGTACTGAAAATGAGACATAGCCATAGGATATCGTACGTTGTTACCGTTAAACTTTAACAGCATGTTGCATGCTAATATCTAAACAGTTCAGTTACAGCTGTAGAGTTTTTAACCCATCATTTCGTATTATTATCGCAAAAAAATCGAAACTAAAGCGAAGTCTAATCAAAATTTTGTATTTAAATACTTGTTCGAATTAGGATGTCAAGCTGCAGCCTATATTCCGTCGAACGCCGCGTAAAACTATTAAACTAATTAGACTATAAATTTAAACGCAACTTACCCAAATTTAAAATGGTAAGCGAAGAAATTCAGAAGAAAACACTTGAATCATCCCAAATAAATCAGTATATCGCACAGTATCATTAATACCACATTATGAGGTGTTCTTAAACCTATAGTTGACGAATATTTGTGATCCGCAAATAAAAATGTGTTGACACTTTTGACAGGTGTCTTCCATTCGGAATATTACACAAGCATTCGTATGTCACGTTCGGACATATTTGATGAGAAAGAAAAAAAATTAGGACTGACATTCCAACGCTAACTGCATGTCGGTGATTAATGCAGAAAATATATTTAAAATACCAAAGCACTTTATTCTCAAGCAAAGACCGCGAATGTTTACGAGAGCCAAGCTTTATTGCTCTTCTAACGCCAGTCGGCGTAATTTTGAATGCAGTGGGAGGCATCCAGCAAAGGTATGACGCCACGGAAATTGATCACAGAACAATATCACAATATAACTATATAAGTTGTGTAGTTCACTGCAATGGAAGAACTAATTGAACTAAGAGATAGATGCAAGGCTACCCAGCGTCTAGACTCTAGAGCCAAGTTCTTCGGCGCGATGTAAACGCGAATTTGACCTCCAGACGATTAGGCTCCTGACAAATATATTGAGCTTGTTTAGCCTTTCAAGGTATAGGCTCCTAGATATATACTAAAGTTCAATGGAGGAACTTCAGTGAATTCAGACCAGTGAATTCCTCTAAGGGCTTGTTCATTTGAGAAGGTTTAGCCAGGATTAGGTTTAGTTTCATGTCAGCCCGTTAAAGGAAGATCTCGTTCCTATCAGGCTATTCGGCGTGAAATTTCTTTTTTAAAGTATTTGTTTTTCGATAGCTCGTTTTACGATGTGTCAATGTATATCCAATTCATTGTTAAGTATTTCCTTTCTCCACACTTAATCATGCTAGTTAAACGCCTTTCTTCCCCAGACATTGCCCTTCTTTTTTTTACCATTGCTGACTTACAGCTAATTTGCTGCATTATTTGAATCATAAGAAGCATCAAATATATTTCGAGCAAGAAATTTCAAGCAATGTACGGTAAAACGTCATTCGTACTCTACAAGCGGGAGTCCATTCGACATCTTGCTCCAGTGTCATATTAAAATCAACAGCCAACCGAAATGAAGTAAATACAACTGGAATTCTTTCCGAAATGTGAACTACAGGAATCTTTGAAACGCCATCTTTGAAGATAATTTGAGGACCGAAGCCAGTCTCTTTTTATTATTGATAAAAAAAACAATAGAAACGGACTAGCAATGGTCCTTAAATTCAGCTTCAAATTGGCTTCAAAGATGGCGACCTAGTTATCATTTCAGTTTTCACGGAGTTCACTTACTAACAATTTTTAAGAATGACGATATCTTGTTCAAGGTTCTATTTGGACCGTCCAAAGACGCGTAATTGGGGATGCAGGTGACGGTTATTACCCGCCATATTTGAAACCCAATTGTAGGAAAGCGCGATCGTCAAATGGGAAGACAATAACAAGCATCCTACAACTCGATTTTAAATTTGCTTCAAAGATGGCGACCGAGTTACCCTTCTGGTTACATAGATTTTACAAGTGTACGCCCATCCAACTAAAAATTTAAAGAGTGATCATTCTATAGGTGTATTTACTTCATTTGGTCAACGTAAGTAGAATCATGTGAACTTCATCAATTCCGCTCTCCGAGGAGTCAAAAACCCGGAAACGATTAAATCTGTGCGCATTTTACATACGAAGATTGCTGATTTGTAAGAGGATAAAATCGATTACCCCTGTAGGGGTCACGTGGTCGTCGGCTTAGTATCTTGCCTTTTTCTTGATGCGCTGTGTAATCTCTTTCGTCGCAGGCTCAGATGATGATTGTACAGCCACTTTTCACCATGTTGATGGAATAACTGAAGTTTCAGGTAATAGAATATTTGTTAATACCGAAGCAAAAATAATACAATATTGAGGGAAACGTAGTGCACATTTTCCATACTTTATAAATATATGTATTTACCATGAAATAAATGATTATTCTATTGTTTGCACAGACGGCAAAGGGCTGGTGTGTTCTATATACTTCATGTTTATTCCATAAATGAGATCACGAATAAACGACTCTTGGTCAGGATTCCAGCCCAGATAAATTTGGGCTAGATTTTATGCTTAAACTCAAATGGCCTTTATATAGAATCACAACCTTCTGGACATACTGCAGCACTTCTCCCAAAAATATTTCTATGTTTGCCTTTTGAGGAAATGATCAATCGCTGTGTAGCGTCCAGTAAACAGATTAGCCGAGAAAAATTGAGGCTACACAAGAATTTTGGGAGGAACCTATGTATAAGCACGTTTTATGGCATTATAATATTTAAAGGCTGCGTTATTTTATAATTCCCACACAAAACACAGAAGTATAGTATGGGAAACCTGCAAACTTTGCAGGGACATGTCAATGCGCATATTCTCAAACCTGGTGGACTTCAGAAAATTTTCACAATGTGTGAGTATAAACAAACCTTCGTTTTCCAAGGCGTCTCTGACTCTTCTCGTTGCCTGGCTGCCACTCTTTGGTCCTCTTCAAGCTGCCAAAACAAAGACGATGTTATACCGTTAATTTACTGTTTCCCACAACAGGTATATACTAACGTAAACGCAATCTAATAAAAAAACAAAGCTTGGCGATGATTTAATCAAAGTTGAAAAAATGTTAAAATGAAACAATCCCACCTTGAAAGATAGCTTTTCAAGTATATTTCATCAGACAAGGAAAAAATATGGACGCCGGACAGTTTTAAGTGGGCGGTTGAAGAAGAAAAAATAGTTCGCGAGTTACCACAGCAAATGAAAACGAGCGTCTTCTTCGTTTAACTTTTTCAATTTGGTGTAACTTAAGTATTCATCATTGTGTGCGAAGGAAGTGAAGGAAATGAACAAGTAAAGTAACAAGTACCTTCCGCTTTTCTTCAGCTGCCTTATCTATATCGTCATTCCTCACTGCCTCCGTTACGAGATTCCACAATCTGGAAAAGCGTTGCAAAAATATATGGGCTTGTAAAGAGTTTCTATTTGAAACTAAGTGTTTCAGGAAATATAGTGGAGTGATTGTTGTGATAGCTGGCTGACTACGCCAATATTTCGGCAGAATGTACACTCCATCTGTAATAATACAAGCTTAAAACATGTCAGATATCAAAAGCTTGGTCCTTGAAATGTTAAAGAGACGGTTCTTACTTTCTGGATTCATTGTCTTGCTGTAAGGACAGAGGCCGTAGTTTCTTACAAGTCTTCGTCATCACCTTCGGTTCGAGCACTTTTAAATGCTGCACCTTTTGTGAATTACACAAATACATATGTAAACTCAATTTGTAACACTTAAATTAAAGAATGCCATCATCAAGTAAATTATTGTGAACTATATATTGTTCACATTTCGCTATACCTACAATTCGCAGATAGTATCTGAAATAAATTTGCTAACAAAAGGACAGCAAAGGGGTTAAGAAGGGACAATTAAGGGTAATATAAAAGGACAACTAAAGGGCAAGAAAAGGACAACTAATGGATAATAAAAGGACAAATAAAGGGTAATAAAAGGAAAACTAAAGGGCAACAAAAGGACAACTAAAGGGTAGCAAAAGGTCAACTATAGGGTGAAAAAGGGATAATTAAAGGGTAATAAAAGGATAACTAAAGGATGAAAAAAGGACAGCTAAAGTGTAAAAAGCTGCACTAATAGAAGCAGCTCATTGATATGGCTCTACATGCAAACATTAGAAAGAACATGGAAAGAAACACCGCTTACCCCTTTATCAGGAAACATCATCTCTATTTTCTCTGTCCACTGTCCATTGATCCTGCAAACAACACGGCCACTTGGAAGATGTTTAACTTCTCCTGTGATATTATCTCGTACACCGCCGTACATTGGTTTGGTATGAAACGTTATCGAGGAACTATAGCCAGTTTTTGAACACGATATGTTCACTTTACCACCAAGTTCTGTCCACGGGCGAGTTAAAATTGACCTATATAGAAAAAGTATAGGATGTCTATATAGAAAAAGTATAGGGTGTACATTGTATATGCTCAAAAATGAACATAGACCATTCCTATTAGGAATATTCAGCAGTACTGATAGAAAGGGAATCCCAAAATTAGTAAATCAGTACAGTTTATTTGCAAAATATTGAATAGATGGAAAAATATCGTCGTGTTTACAATAGTGTTTTTACAAACGACCCATCGTGAATACAAAAGTATACATGCGAACATAATACCTGCAATATGCATTTGGAAATGTGAACACATATTCTTCGTCGTGGTTTAATAAGGTCAAAACACCTTGAGAATCAAACAAAATAATTTCCTCGCATCCTGTGCCTGAAATCTGTCTCGGATGTAAACAGGATATACTAAAGATGCAGGCTCACCATCTCCAATAAGCTCAACTCCGATAGACATTCCGTAAAACTTTGATTTCGTCCAAATATGACAGTTCATGCAGACATTCTTCTGAGGACATTCAACATAAAATGCCGAAACTGCATCAAAAAACAATAGAAATGCCGTGAACGGAAGACAACTGTCATGAATGTTTAAAGCTGGTTTTCATATGACATAATTCGTCGTAATTCAGATTCAATTACGAGAAATATTCTGACAGTATTCTACTATCCAGTTGCCATTAGTAATACGCAAAACATGGTTCTGCATAGGCGACTAAATGTGTCAGGAAGAGGCAACTCGATTTCCCGCTAAAATATCGACCAAATGAAGAATAAAGAAATGGAGTGGACTAATTATGATTTCACGTAACAACGAATTACGACATGTGAATTAGGAACGAATTATGACGATTCTATTTTATGTCATATGAAAAACATATTTTATGTCATATGTAGGTAAATACAAAAGCTATTTATTCAGCTCACCTGGAGGATGATGGGATACTTGTTCAGCGACGTACCGCAGCCTGCAGTCACGTGACTCCTCGGTAGTCTCAGTGTTTGATACGTCACCGTGCGTTTGCCTGGCACAGGTATTCCAAGAACATTGAAAGATCTCACCGAGAACAGGGTTGTACGGTTTTTTAGAATAATGACCCTATATAAAAGCGACAAAATATCGAGCAATCGAACCTGTGTTTGAGACGTCGGGGTGATGAAACCACATTGATGAAGATTCAAATTCTTAAAATCTGATTATTATTGTGATGAAATTTCAGGAAAAAGTCACTCGTATATATGGCATTCCCTACCTTTCTAGCCGCATAAAACGAAGTCAGATAATATTGAACTGCCGCTAACATACGCTCTTCCGCTGAATGTTCCTCTGATATTCTGTAATATGAAACGAAATTATACCGTATTCAATTACAGTATTCATATCGTACATTTCAGTACAAAGTTTCAAGACTTAAGCCCTTAATTTGGAACAAGCTGTTATGTAACTCTTTAAACAAGAGCCCCCAGTGCAGGCAGTGGCGTAGCCAGCCTGACGATTTTATCCCGCTATGTAAATTTCATGTTATTATAATTATCATTTCTTCAGAAATTCATTGTTTTCACAGTCAATAAACACCAAAATATTAGCATAGCGGGACAAATCGTCAGGCTGGCTACGCCACTGAGTGCAGGCTGTAAATCAAAACGATTACAACGCTGGGAACTACTGCAATAAATATACACGACGAGTTACATACTTCAGAAATAGATCAGGATAGCCGTAGAAATCGGCGAACATTTCTAGTGAGCTTCGTGGTTCAAGGATGAATGTAGGGAGAGGAACCTGCAGGGAAAATAAGATGACATATACATGAAGTAGTGTATACGTGCTAAATTAAACTAAATTGAACAACACCTAACCCTACCAAAACGGCTTAAAAACTAAGTTGATTAAAAATTGAACCAAAAAATCTAAAATCTAAACTAGAGTAAACTGAACGGCAAACTTAAAATGAAACGAAACCAAAATAACTGCCTCTAACAAAACAATGAAACCATTTTCAGCTGATAATTTCAGCAGATAGAAAATAAAGGTTATTCCGAATAACACAATGAATCTATTCGCAAAAGCCTTTATAAACATTGAATTTAGTGCAATTTACCTTGGTTAGATCCATACCAAGTTTAAGTTTTGAAAGTAAATGAAGAATTAGGCTTTTATGCTCCTCCATATTTTCATTCTCCAAGGAAAATGCCTGATTGTTCACGGATTCGTCGTCTACCTCATCATGTAAATGTGACTCTACAAAAGGCAAAGTGACGTACAGTGACATTTATATTGTACAAGATTTATTGTCTGTTTATATCCGATCCAATTTCACTTCTGATGGATGTTTTGTGGACTGTTGACTTGCAATGGGCAGATAACCAACTGAAAATAAATAAATGCAGTACTGCTTTGTCAACAACAGATTACATTCCAAACGTCAGAAGTGAATTGGATGCGACAAAATTGGATCGTGTGAACAGAGCTTTACGGTGACAAACGCGCCTGTGTTAAAAACATTGCCAGCGTATTTTACTTTTTTCGTCTCAGCACTAAACTCAGCAATTGTCCACTGTTAATCTCTTTGAGATTGTCAATCTCTTTGAATATGGCATTAACTCACATGCATATTGCTTTTCTAGGGATACCGTACCTCGTAGGTACATTATAATATATATTAATATATTATTATTACATTTCTTGCAGGTACACAGGCATTCCTCGTTTCCGATTTGGCTTTGAAATAAATAGCAAATTTACATATTTCTTCCCCGTATCGTAATCAGTATAAAGTCGGTATTCTAATCTACAGCGTACCTGTCAGTAAAACTTACCGAGTTCAACACCGTCAACAAAATTGTCGATACAACACGGCAGAGAAGTCTTTTTACCACCGCTGACGCTACCGGAGGATGACGGTATTGATGGAATGCTGTGCGAATGTAGTAGATGCGGATGCTGTGAATATGGCACTGTTCTAAGTTTAAAACACACATTTTTTAAACATATGTGATATGATAAACTATAATTGTGTACGAAAATCTCATATTTGACAAGGTTATAGTTACACATTTTTCGCTTTCGCACATGCAGTTTCTAAAAATCTTGGTGTTTTTAATGTAGCCGAGTATTGCGAGTTTCGTTTCAAAATTTAACCAATTTCATAAAGAAGGGGCTTTTTAGTAAAATGTTAAAATAAGTCCGCCAAATCAAAAACACCAAAGCTTAATCAATCGCTAGCCTCCAGTTGAAAACAGGCTCTAAATTCCTCGCTTCTATAGAAATCGACGTTATCGACGTTAGTCCAGAACTTACTTTGTATCAGGCGGACCAAACCATTGTATTGAGGCGTCTTCAGGTATTCCAGAGTTCCTTGCAACATCACGCGTATCGTCAATCTAGAACGAATATACAGTATACTAAGACTGCCCTCATAGCAAGCCGATGAGATTGCATATTGATAGCCTAAACTTGTTGAAAATTACGACACCATTCTACCATTACTAAAACACCTGAATACATAGAGTATATTTACTTTACCTGCTTCTGCAATATAGCCAGGCATTGATAGAGACAGTGAAGCGTTGCCTACAAACAAAAACCAAAAGTAAACCTCTAAATTTAGAAATATGCTGAAACATTTCCTCTCCTAAATCCTGTTAAGCTTCTTATGCAAGCTAACCCACAAATGCCCTAGCTATAAAACGTCAAAATACAGCACTGCAATTGTTTAATAGTATCTCCCCTTAATAGTAGACCCCCCTGAATTGATACCCAATAACTTCTCAGGTCCTGGTGGAATGGGCTTTTAACTATGATACTCAAGTCGAAAGTCGGTACCAAATATAAGGACAGTAGTTACCTGGGCGGTAGCCTTCGTTATCAACACATCCTAGAATTGATTAAAATTGCTTTTAGTATGTATAGAACATTGGATTGGAGTTTTCTTTTCATAACCTTTGAACTTGAACTTTAAAGCGCGTCAGAAATGACGTGCTCCTAATGCAAGCTTTTCTATTATTGTTCTACATTTGCGTGGTTTTTACATTAAATTTTAGGTTTACGAGGTAATTATTCGCCGGCTTGACGGCTTCATCCTTGTACAAAGCTACCATACCTTGCTCAAAGGATTAACTGTTTCACCATCATTCGGAGCCTCCTACAACAGTAAATGATATTCAATCAATATATCCCTCGATTCTACTCTAGTTCAGTTCTTGGGGTACCGGCTAACTAATATTCTCGCTTGTACAAGGGTGAAAAGATTTAAGTACCTTGGCCCAGTTGTTCAACTTGTTGTGTAAAGCCAATTAGCGCTAACCCTGGGTTAAATTTTAATCTAATAGTTTATGTGATGATGTAAAGATTTGCTTACCCTAGGGTTAAGCTAACCGGTTTTTGAGCAACTATCGCAAGGCAAATAGGGTGCTGAGATTTTGGTGAAAAAATCACGTACCTCTATTTTGTTTATGAATGCCATCTGTTGCGCTTCCGTGGTATTTAGAAGTTCATTGATAACCTCCATATACTCGAGCACCTCAGACGATATTGTGGTAATGCGTTCCTTGCTGGACGACAAGTCAGTATTATCGGCCGTTGTTAAGGCATTGACAAGATTTTGACCTTGAGGTTGTTTACCACTCGACGGAATTGCACTCGCCTGACCTATTGTCTGGCTGCTTTGTTGAACTTTCTAAATTTGAGGAGTAAATTGGTTATTTGGATTGTAATGTTAAAACACGCAATGTTACCATAGCACTACCATGTTTCAAAACTGTGTAAATTCATGGATAAATGCGAGCAAATCAAATGTATTCACTATATCTGGCTTTTGACTATTTTCGATTGTCTATAGCTAAACAGTCCAACAGCCAAAATCTGCAAGATAGAGCTTTATGATATGTTTCAACTTTTCGTTCTATTTTCGCGGTCGTCAATAGCATTTCAGAGAACAATTTTAATCGACAATTCTTCGACTTTAGCATTAACATTAACTATTAAATTTTAGTAAACAAATTTCGATATATTACTTACTGATTACAGTACAGCAAGCAATTTTCGTTGCAGGCACTATTTTATCCGTATTTTTATCAAATTTTTCGATTTATTATATAAAACCTAATGGAGTTAGGGAGTTATTTCGGAAAAATAAGGAGTTATTTCGAAAAAATAAGTGACCTAAAGCGATCGAAAACTGCAGGCGGTTTTAATTGTTGAAATATTCGGTTCTACAACCCCATGCCTTTTATATTTTGATCGGTCGAGTCACTAATGAGCCGCTATTTCGTAAACATTAGTGATTGGTCCATTTGTGTCCCCTATCTCAATTGTGATTGGCCGACTCGTGTTCACGTGTCTTTGTATCCACATTGATCCACATGCAATGTTTCCCGCCAGACAAAAAGTTAACAAACGTTAAAAATTTGAAAAACAAAATGGCGGCGAAATTTTTTACATAAGGTGAATCAACATTCAGATCAAAATTATTAACAGAATCGAATATGTAACTGAGAGGGAAATAAACAAAAAGAGACAAGAATTGCAGCAGGAAGTTTTAACAGGTTTAGTATAAGCTGCGTTTCAACTTATTGCTTAATAAAATTTCGAATTACCGTGTGAATATATATTGTCTTTTTTTGTTGTATTTATAAAAAAAATATTAGCTAATATAGTTCATTTCTCTTCGACGAGAAACATTGCAATACAGCAGAAATCTTTTCCTCGAGAAAGTGTGTGTTTTGTCTTCAAGTACGTAAATCTTGTCGTGGAAAACATTGCGACTTTCGAGTAAACAAGCTCACTTTTTTCCTCATTATAATATATTAGGCCAGTAACAACCTTTGTAACTTACATTAACAAGCTGTGTAGAATGCATCTCAGAAATCATTCGTATCTTATTGATCCACTGTTGACGTTCTCGGGCATCAGAAGCTGGGAAAAAGAAACTATGTATATTGCAATTATGCTTTGGACCCTGAGGTCCAAAACATATTTTTGGTAAGTAACTGATCAAGGTCCAGGGGGGCCAGGTTTCAATGTATAAGACAAATCAAGTTAATTTAAAAACAGCTTATTCCTTCCAGCAATGATTAGCGTAATGAATAGACATAATCAAAATCACAATACATAAACAATTTCACCTAAATCTATGATTACAGACTTAATCGAGTACCAAAGACCATTTATACATTAATACATATGTAGCTAATACACTTTCTTTGAATTAATTCTCCCTCTTCTGCACCGAGACTTAGGTTAACCATTGCATGATGTATTATGGACTGTGTATCAAATACCATATCCTCACCTCTCAGTTTGAAAAGATCACCATTTGCTGCATTTACACTAAACGTTACAGAGTCTTCATCACTTGGGGCTATTACAGCACCCTACAACAAAAAAGGCAATTCTCAATGCAAATTAAATATATTTCACAGACATAATATAAGTTTTTTAAGTAGTATAATGATAATAACATTATAAGTTAACATATAATAATTATATTTCTTTTAGTTCACTCACCATCAAATGCACTGAACCCCTTGGTTCTGAACCATGAGTCCATTTGCTTTTGTCCTGAAAATGCAAGCCAATTAATTAGATGCAACCCCACTAAATTCAACAAGTACGATCGTACTATAGTGGACCAGGAACTGCGTAACCGAGTTTAATTTCTGAACTGCATTGTATTTATAACAATGGAGAGGACAATGTATTTCTAATCGTTTCTGTTTACTTATATATAGGCTGAATATTAATGATATGTATATATTATTTGCTGCAAATATATCAAGAATTGCTTGTAACTTGCTTCAAAGGTAAAAGGTAAAAATTCGAACTCCGTCAATCGATGCGGAATATTGCTTAGAATAATTGTGCCAAGTTTCATTCCGATCAAACAAGTAATGCTAGAGCCTTAGGGTTTTTTTAAAGAGCGTCACCCCCTAACAACAACAACAACAAGAAGATTAGCAGCGGTTAGGGACCAGTTCCTGGTCCAACAATCTTAATCTGCCTAATAACTAGCTATAACAGTTTCACTTGTTAGTGATATTTAATGCCAAATTGGTGAGATTAGCATTTCTCCAATTTCTCTTTGAAGGTCTGGATCTGCTTGGTTTTTATATAGCAATCTTAAATCCGAAACTGTTTGTGCTTCGATCAATTGGCAATTTTATCTATTGCAACTAAATTATTCCTTAATTCTGAGGCTTGTATACAACTACATTTGGAATGAATGTGAACATGCATCATTGGATAAAATAGCAGTTGATCTAGGTGATCCAACCCTACTACCAGTACACAAATATACTTTAAATTAAAAATAAATGTTAAAGTACCACATAATATTCTAGATGGCCAGTTTCAGAATTCAAGACAAACCATCGATATTGCCAACCCTTCATCAGATTTGTCCACTTGCTTAGCTGACCTTCCATTTTTTGCCTAAATTGAAAAAGCAAAGTGTCTCGGTGAACACGAAAAACTAATATTAGATAATTTACAGTCTTCATAAACATAAGTAAGACAATAATTAAACCACATAAATATTATTAAATAGGCAATTTCAGCTTCAAAGTACTGCTTTTTAAAGTGATACATAATAGCTATAATTTCCTGGTGTGCTTGTTTATAAGTGGTACTTGATCCCTGGTATTTTAAAATGGATTAAGCAAGACTTTAACTTATTTAGACTGTTCATGTTAGAAATTCAGACAAAATGATTATTATTGATGATTATTATGATGATTAAATGCTAGCCAGGGACAGAACCACAACTTACAACACAGAGTATTTTTAACCCAGGCATTCTGGGAGCCAGGTATCTCTGGACACCCTCCCCACCTAGCTGCTCCTCTTGATATTTCAAGTTTGGATTAATTTAGTAGGGGTTTTAATATTTGCCCCAGAAATGTAGAATATGGTCCAGTAGTGTCAGATCAGTAACATCAGCTTTAAATATAAGCATTGCCTTAGGTGAACTTTCACCCCACATTGTTTATTGTTCTGCACACTCTTCGATCTCTATTATATAAAATGATGATCTATTATCAAGGAACCTATTATATTAAATCACATTGATTTTATCAATAATTGCAAACATTGTAGTCAAAGGAAAGTGAAATTAACGAAGAAAAAGTGTTACAATACCTCAATAAGTTGTTCTCTTCCCTCTTTTGTATCTCCTGTCAAAATTTGAGAACAGAATACGTCAAAACTTTTTACAACCCTTAACAATGTCAGAAACATCGAAATTTAAAGGTTTACATGAATATTTGACGTGTAAATCGCATAATTTCGTTCGATATTTTACATTATCTCACAAAAGCAATAATGTCAAAAGAATTTCTAACCTCTGCCTTCTCCATTACGGAGGAAATGCTGGATTTCTCCCACTCACTCAAGCCAGACAAATCAACTTCCGATAAGGTTGGCATTCGTATCAAATCTTTCGCCATCTTCGTATTTCGCAATATTGGCCGTGACAAAATCGAGCTAGTGCCCAGGAAATGGTCTGACTTTTGTTACTTTTCTCATGGATTAACTGTGATTAGCTCTAGGATTATGGTTTGAGTTTTTAGATTAAGAATTATTTCTCACATCTAATATAGTAATCATCTTATCCCATTCTAATACCAATCCTGAAACCATTCACATTATCACATTCAACCTGCCCCAGCAGCTCAAACATTGTACTTATCCTGTCGGTTTTGTTTTTGTGGGATCAGGTTTGAATTTTGAGGTGATTAGGCATAATCAACCATTTTTTTTAACTTATTCAAATTGGAGACTGGGTCTGAAGGCACTAGTGCCCAGGTGCTTTTCACACCCACACATAGCCTGAGTTGCATCCGCTTGTATTATGTAAAATTACACTTCCGTAATACAAGCGGCTGCAACTCAGGCTAACGCACACATACTTATCGAGTAGCATGGGTATATACAAAGCTGATATTACAAATTCCTGACCCCATGGCTTAATAAATCAATCAACCTGTATGTACAGAGTAGCCACCTTCAAAAAAATGCCTGAATTACATGGTATAGGACTATACAACCACCTGTACATTAAAGATTTTTGTTTAACAATTCTTTATAAAATTTCTTTATTTTATTCTATCTTGTACTAATATAATAAAATATATTTTTATAAGCAATCTGTTTTATGCCATAAAATGTTCATTAGGATGGAATAAAGAAGACATCACTGACATGTGTGTATCAGAATGATCCTTGCAATATCAACTCAGTGTTTGGATCATTAAACCATCCTCCTACTGAATTGAAATGAAATTACATGATGTCAGTCATTTGCTTTCTCATTTTATGAGAGAGCAATCATTCAAAATCACTTTTCAGGGGGTTGATATAGTAGTTACCAGCATTATAATAATGGCATCTTTAAAATTTCAATGTGTATGTGACACAAACCATGAAGGTCAAATTAATCATCATAATTTATCTACAATTCATCATCGTTATTCAATTCAAAATGATACGGTTGGAAAACAACAGGTCTTACAAACAGTTTCTGTCTTTCAAAACCAGCTTTCATTTCCAACATATCCTTCCCAATATTAACTATCCTTCCTGTCAGTTCCATGCTTTGTTTCTTCTGAAGCCCTTCAAGGATCTTTGTTGACCGAAACGGCACCTTTGTTATCATCGATAACGAGTGAGTCTTTCCACGAACACTCCGAAGAGAGAAAATTAGAAACAATCTCGAGGTTTTTGCTTGGTTGTCACCATAAGCTGAATTTGTAGTTGCATTCAAGTCAACAATCTCTTGTGGTCTCACTTTTAAGGTTACCCGAGGCGTAACAAGAGAAAGACTGTAGAAAGATTTGCCAAAATGTTTTAAACACGATTCACCCAAATCTTGCAAGATTTCCTCCGCAGTTGTTGCAAGCTTGTACCTTGTTCCTATGTCTTTGTTAACCAAAACAACTGGTGAACATAAATGAACTTTAAAACTTGGGAAGAGTAGAAATGGCAAAAGGATTATCGCAATATATTTATAAGAACCCTTGAAGAATGCTCTAAAATAGAACCAAACTGCGATAATCAGTGCAGCGGTACAAATGGCGTACACGTACGACATTTGAAATTTTTTGATAAACCTGAGAGACTTTCCAGTACATACATAACACCAGGAAAGCTGAAAAGAACAACAAATGCTAGATACTTCCATCTTGAAGGCTCGCTCTCGCTTTTATTTGTTTCTTGTTCAGACTTGTTGCTCTTTTTGCGTTTCATATTTCTTGATACACGATGAGTTATTTGTAAAACAGTCGCTATTAAAAGAGTTTGGTTTTGTCAACTGAAGTTTACGTGTGCCTATTTCAATGGATCTTCTCTAATTATCTACTTGCCCCGAATGCCGTACGGCAATCACCGAAGCGACGACGAGCAGATACAGATAAAAAGATCGGGGAAAAGCTGGCTATCTAGGCCAGTGAATGATTTAGGCCTATTAAAGCCGGTTTTTCACTAGCGATATATTTCGCACATAGCGACATTCTACTTGTTTCAGAGCTCTCAACTGCAAATCATCTGGTACAAATTGCCCAAATACAAAAGAATAAAGTCGCTTCGCGCGAAAAATAACGCAGGTGGAAAACCAGCTTTACTCCGGGCCTCCGGCTACCGTTTTAATAGGTAGGTCGGAGTCTTAAAACTTAAAATGCTAGCGCTATCCTCATGTACATCACAAAGTGGTATAAACGATCATGCACGCAGACGTCACAAAATCACAGATCACAAAATGGTACAAACGATCATGCAGTTAACCGCTATTCCCTACGTGTTCGCAGGCTCAAGTAAAAATGGGTGTCGAATACATATGAATGGAATTTTTTTTACTTTTATCTATCAAACACTACGTAACAATTTGCCTGACTACTCCGCAGTCCCTTAGTTGGAGATTTATAGATCAGTGGATAGTGATATACAGTGAGCCCTATATGGTGAAATATATATATATAATATATATATATATTATATATATATATATATATATATATATATATATTATATATAATATATTAATAATATATATATATATATATGAATGCTTGTGAAACATGTCTGGTATATTATGAACTTGTTGTATTAATGATTTCCTCAGACATAAAATTAACTATTTATTTCACTCAGTGTTAATATCCAAACGTTTCGCCGGTTAAGGCTTCTTCAGTGGAATGGTTAGTCAATATTAAGATCCTAGTGTATATACAGGTATGTATGATTAAAAATTCATAGTTTCTATTATTAACGAGTAATAAACATGCTGTCACGCATTAGTGATAAGTTTTACTTGGGATAAAATTCTATTAAAATTCTATGGGTTAAAAAAAAAAGGTTTCGATATATACAAATCTATATGTTAAAAATCGTTCTATATACAAATTGTTTTCCCGACACAACCGTTCATAATGTCTTCAGATTGGTTTTGTATTTCATCGGCCTCTATATATCTTCCTTCTTCATCATTTCGAATATTTGAACGGTTGTGTTGGGAAAACAATTTGTATATAGAACGATTTTTAACATATAGATTTGTATATATCGAAACCTTTTTTTTTAACCCATAGAATTTTAATAGAATTTTATCCTAAGTAAAACTTATCACTAATGCGTGACTAGCATGTTTATTACTTCTGTTTATAATAGAAATAAGCTATGAATTTTTAATCATACATACCTGTATATACACTAGCATCTGAGGAAATCATTAATACAACAAGTTCATATATATATGTATATTCCTAAGTTTCATCTCTTACAAGCTAGGTGCACTTGTTCAGCTAGCGCATTCATTGGCCAAAAACATGTCATTCACTACAATAATACGTGATGGGAGTTACGCGCGAGCCAAAGAGTTTCTGACTTGAGTGCATGGGCCTACTGGATGACACCTTGTATTTGAAGTTGATTCTATTAATTGCTGTTGGTTTATAGTCCAATATCGCACTTAGAGATGTTGGTAAGCTATATATTAATCCTGTTTTAACAGTGTTATGTTATGTATGATTTAATTGATTTGTGAAGATGTTTTACAGTATTTGTGAAGTCATGCATGTGCGTTGCAACAGATATACCATCTGCTCTTAGTCAATATTTCCTAAGTTTCATCTCTTACAAGCTAGGTGCACTTGTTCAGCTAGCGCATTCATTGGCCAAAAACATGTCATTCACTACAATAATACGTGATGGGAGTTAACGCGCGAGCCTAAGAGTTTCTGACTTGAGTGCATGGGCCTACTGGATGACACCTTGTATTTGAAGTTGACTCTATTAATTGCTGTTGGTTTATAGTCCAATATCGCACTTAGAGATGTTGGTAAGCTATATATTAATCCTGTTTTAACAGTGTTATGTAATGTATGAGTTTAATTGATTTGTGAAGATGTTTTACAGCTGTATTTGTGAAGTCACTAAGACTAAGTAAAACCAAGCGCTAAGTTTAAAATACGTGACCTTAAATATTACCGCAACTCCATAAAATTATGCGATTTGGATGACGATGCTCTATCAGTAGAATCTGTAGGTTAAAAATAGGGGCAAAAACTATGGTAAACGTATGTTAGAGGCTAAAACGAATTTTTTATCAGAAAAGGGTCTTTGTTACTATAGACACAAGTTTAGGATATAGCTTTTGGTTATTGCTGTATTGCTGTGTTTCCCGTAAGGAAATAATTTACGTGGTTGAGAAATAGTACCCAAGAGCTGTTATATTTAGAATTTTCGTAGCTCGTCCCCACCCTGTATTTATACCCAACAGACAGATGATGCGTCAGGACTAAAATTCGTTGAAATACACAAACTATATGCGGATAATTCGTGGTGGCAGATGATCCGTCTGTCTGCCCGTACGCGTGTTTACCCACAGACCGAACTGGAAGACGAACTATATATCTTTGACTTAATTTGCCTGCCCGAGTTCATCTATACGGATAATCCGTTTCCTGTATGAGTTAGGACAATTCTAGTTTTCTAGCCCAAAATTTGATCTTTAATAATTTTGCTCGAATTAATGTGTATTTAATATAATTTTAAAAGATTGTTGGGAGCCCCCTCAAGTACGCAGTATTTCACCTGTTCCTTTGCATTGCAAACATGCAGTCTCTCGACCGTGATGATCCATTCGCTTGTGTCCAATAGAACACAGTTAGCTACTGTTTTATTACGCAGATTGGGACTGAAAACAGAAACGTTACAAACAACGTGATATAAGAATGACGAATAACTTAGCAAGTCCATAAGTTTGGCGCATCCTGCCAGTTTACGCAACAAATTTGCATATAAATAGGCATCTGTAGTTCTTTTTTACTTACTGTATAAAATGTGAAAGCTCAGAAGAATTATATTTAATGGATCACATCGCCTGTGGGGATACTTTTGTTAGATTTTAGGGAGTTTCAGATGACACAACGAATGAACGAACAGCGGGTATACACGGACTACATATACTGTTATTATATACACAAGCGCCAGATATGGGGTATGCTGCAATATCATTGGTTGGCTACTAGACAGATATTAGCTCATATCTGTCTAGTAGAGAAAGTAAACAAAATAGCCGAAAGATTTGGGGAGTTGAGTGAAATAGAAATCCAAGCTTTAGTTGATAATAGTACACCAAAATGCACCGAAAGGGCGACAATAACTGTTGATTAATTAAAGCCGGTTTTCCACTTGCGAGTTTTTTCGAGCGAAGCGATAATTTTCGAGGCGAAATATTGTTTTCCACAGGAGACAAAAAACGCGCGAAATACAAGCATTCTGTTTCATCGGTTGCTGTTTGTAACTCTCACTGTTTACTTCCCATAAACATCGATATCTTCGTACTTCTTCAAAGAAAATTCCTTTGTCAAAATTATCGGCTGTCTGCGGGGTAGATGGTTGGGAAATTGCATTCCTTTCATGAGTAAACTCGTTATTTGAGTTGCTATCGTTAGCAGATAACTCTTCAACCTCCGCCATTTTGACAAATTAATTATGCAAAAACAAAAACACTGAAATCTGATTGGCTGGAGACATTTTTCGCCGCGAAAAAGTAGAAATCATTCGAACTCAAAACTTTCGCCGTGGCGAACAGCTTTCGAATTTTATCGCCATGCATATGTGACGTCATTTGAGAGATGCGCATGCGTGACTTATGCGCATGCGAAAATTATTGCTTCGCGCGAAAAAATTTGCAAGTGGAAAACCGGTTTAAAGCCTATAAAGCGCGCACAGGTGCACTTGAAGCCGGCCTGTCACACATGTCACTCGTGGCAATTGTCGCCAACACTGTCCATGTCTGCGGAGACCAATTTGAGATATTTTGTCATTCGTGTCGTAAAATCAAACATGTTTGATATCTTCCATCACGCGTGACAAATCTGTCCGATGCCTGTGCGCTGAAGAAATGCACGTAAACCATCCAGTAAAGACAGGTTTACGCTAGCAAAGTTTCTGTGCGCACTTTGAAGGGCTTTGAACCCAAGTGGATCGTGTTCAACATTGAACACAGAACTTCGAAGAAACCGCCACTTTGTGGCTTTTGCGAGACTATTGTGGGGGAAATGAGAGCGGTACCTGTGGGGGGAAAGTAAAAAAAATAATTAAAATATCTACTGAAGTTTCATTCATTTCTGCTAATAAAAAAGCGCCTTCCGTTTACGGGCGTCCATGTTTGACCTGTTGTCTGTGCAACCAGAAATACTGTGCTTTGACTTTGGACAGTGTAAATGTCAGCGGTTCTGCTCAAACACTGTGGTCACGCACAATGACGTCACTGTGCGCACAGAAACTTTGCAAGTGAAAACCGGCCTTAACAATATTATGTAAATGCGAACCACTACAATAAAAGAAATTAGGTATGGACATGCAACGAGAGTGATGATAGTGTGATTTTCTGATGACGAACAAATTCTGCTTTTTCTTTTGCTGATACGTCGGCGGAGGAGACGTTTAGCGCTGCCAATCGTGAAATATGGCGAAACGATAAGACAGGTCCATGGGGCTTTCAACAATCTTGCCAAAGAAATAAATGCTGAAGTTTATTAAACCGGTTCTGTAATTTTTTTAGGTCAAAAAGAAGACTCTCCATATTACCTTTATTTTTACTTGTTTCCTCAAAATGGCAATTTCAGTTCCTCAGTCCCCAGGTAGTATTTCACCGAGTAAAAAAGTAAAGAATTCCGTTAGATCGAAAAAACCTACCTATATATAGTATTATAGTATCATTATATTTTCTGTCGTAACACTCTCTTACATCCCAATATATAGAAGGTGTATGAAAAGAAACGGCAAATACTATAATTTGTATGCACGAGATCATACATTAGAATTTAAATAGCTGATGCAACTAATTACGCTTCTTAGATTTAAAAATAATATATTTATGTTATAAAATTGAGATGCCCTAAACCTTCAAAGTTGTTTCAAACGCTGTGTTTCATCCATCTCTAGCGTTTGCAAATTGCACTTCTTATTGCGACTTCGAGGTGGAAAATGAATGTCCATGGGGCAAAGATTTCGAACTGGGTAATTCAAACTGGAAGAGAAATCAAGGTAGTATACAAGGCCTTGGCTTTGCTCGTTATGGACCATATGCAGATCATACCAAAGGTCTAGGTGAGTCATCAAAATCAGAATAATTAAAAAGAAAATTGAAAACGCTAAATACCGGCCAATCTTTAAACAACGTTTTATTTCGTTTGCCTATGTATGCCCCAGATTATCGAAAACTTAATTTTAAAACTTAAGCCCCGTTTACACTACAGTCAATTTATCAGCACGGCACGGCTAAAATTGGTACCCGTACCCATTTTATTAGTGTTCAGGCTACCAAAACAAAGGCCGAGCACAGATGAAATGGGTACGGGTACCTATTTTAGCCGTGCCGTGCCAATAAATCGAGTGTAGTGTAAACGGGGCTTTATATTCCAAATTTTTGCTTGTTGACTCACTGCATTTTCTTCCACCCCAGTGTGTCACCGTACAATAGTGAGATATATGGTATTTTAACACAAATCTGCAATTCTCTATACATTGCTTACTACGATATAAAGTGCGACGAGGATAAATTGTTAATATACTAGAAATACATGCATGCACCAACCCCTCGCCTCTGTTAAACGAAATTAGTTAAGTGTAGGGATGGTAACATGATTGTTAGAAAATTTATGTGGGTTGGGGGTTTTGAAGGGTACATGGTATGTGAGAAATAGAAATTTGAGAAAAGTATGGAAATATTTTTCTGCGCGTGGAAACACTGTAGTCATAGCAACTTGCAACGGCCGTATATTTTTTAAGAATCAAAGTTTACCCTCACATTTTTTGAAAAAATGGCAAAAATACGACAAGATTCCTACCTTTTTCTGGAAGCTAAGTTACTCATCTATAGCCAGTGTTTTGGTAAATTATTTCAATTATTAAATACCATGAAATATAACATCACACGTCTCATACAACTTCCGAAGTTTTATGTTACTCTTCGACTGGTTTTTGCACGGCAATGTTGTTTTGATTTTTTTTTCTTTTTGTCACTATGAAAACGGAATTTATAAATGAAATTACAATGTCGTTTATCAGATAACACATTCAGATTTATAATGAAATACATTTGAGAATATTAAAGTTGTTTTTACCAGAAAATAATTACTTTTTGAAGCTTTGCCGGGTGAAATATGTAAAACCTTCCGACTTCATTATAAACGGTGAATTCGGTCAAAAATTTGGTCTTGTTATTTGTTAAACCGTGTAAAGTCCTGACCTCATTCGAGTTTCCCTTTAATTTAGTAAAAATACATATATTCCATATTTATGAAAATATAAATTCGTAAATTTCATCAAAATTTTGCTAAATGACAGTTATTCATTGACGTTATAAAATACAAATTTTTGTCTCGACCAATCAAGAGCTTAGTAGTTCACGCTGGCGCATGCGCATAATGTAGAAGACCGTCCATGGCGTGAGGTCCATTGCATAATGGCGGACGTCGTAGGTGTAAATATCCGAGCGGAATTAGTACCCTCGCACGGTGCTCCGCACCGGCTCGGGGATAAGTACACTGTACAATGTACTACAACGTACTACAAGATCGAAAAAAACAAATGAAAATAAAATATAATGATATTCATAAAAACCTTAATTGTTTTCAAAAATACACTAGAGACTTTTAAAAAAATATAAGCAAAAAAGATTGGGAAAGGCATTATTAAGATGTTCAAACATTATCGGCCAGAGAACTGTATTCATAATTTTGATGGTGATGGTTGACGGACTATATGTGATGCTAATTCTTTTCCTTCTAAAGTAAAAAAAATATATTAACTATTCGCGACGAGAAGAGTTTATTGTTTTCAGGAGCGTACCTAGCCATAATTAGAGGGGAGGGTTAAGTTATATACTCAGTTCTCCCCGACGGATTTCTATTGTAATTAGCTGTTGCACGTTTACGCCACTGATTGTCATGTTTGTTTGTCCAGTTTGTCCTAATATCCAGCTATTTCGAAACTTTTTTCGTGGGGAAAAGTTGAACGACACTGGTGCGTAGTAAGCCATGCGTCATGACAAAACTCTAGCAGGTTCAAAAGAGAAGTGATAAGTCCCAATCTCAGAAGACCAATACGTGACAATGCGGCTAAAAAACAATTTACAATATATGCAACAATTATAAAGTTCGATTTTTAGTTACCAAAATTTGTGTCGTAGGTGTTGTAAAGAGTGAAAGTCAAGGACCAGGTGCATTGCAATTTCGTGGAGGAAGTTGCATTCATATAAAAAAAGGTCGTTTTCGTGGAAGAAAGCAAAAGAGTGCACAAAAACTTGTAGTATACACGGGCTGTAACGCAGAAAGATTGCAGTTCCTATTGAGGTCAGACGGAATATTGATGCACACCATAAATCAAATGTGTGTTAAACCAATAGGATCAGTAACTGAAGAAGTAACAGTAAGTTGTGTTGCTGCCTTTAAAAAACTTTGTTGTTTCTTTCCATCTTCTTTGTATACTTTATGCATTGCATTGTGCGTTATTTAAAGCTAGTTAAAGCTATACCGGTGAATGGCGAAAACTTGAAAACTTTAAAATATCTTAAAACTTAATTAATATCCACCGAAAATTTGGAATAAAGTATTATATCTACCGGAAATTCGAAACCAGATTTACTGCTATCTTTTTACAGCACAATTCCATACAATCGCTTTAGCTGCAATATAATTTGGTCTATCTAAAAAAAAAAAAAGATAAAACACGTCGATCTGAATATGACGGAAATTTATCGAGTAAACCTTATTCCTTTATATTTAGCATTAATTTACCAAAACGAGGAAGATAATTTTAGGAACTTTTATCCCGATTCTTTCGTTGTTTTAGGTTGAGAATAAATTGCAGATATCTTCATCATTCATGCTATTTAACAAAAAAAATTCTCTGCGATTTTCAAAAATCCGCTTTGCCGCGTAAAAATCCGAGGTCGCTTGGCTAATAAGAGGCAAGAGGCCAGAAAATTTGATAATCACTTTATAAATATTGCTAATTCGTTATATTTGTATTGTTAGCTAGGTGTTTATCAAAATTGCGATAAAAATACAGAAACATGGAGCTGGACAAAGAATAAATCACTTCAGTACAAAAAGGAAATGTGTTTAGGACCAAAGAGTAAACGAGTTCACCCAAATAACAGCGAAGAGCTCGTTCTTAGTTATGATTGTGACCAGCCACAAAATCGTCTCAGATTTATTCAAGACAGTAAGTATTACTGATCTCTTATGCTGTTCTTATGGATGAACCAACCGATGTTCGCATGTAAGAAATTCATTTGACTTATATATCAACCATTCAGGTATTGCTACCTGGTTGAATCAGCACAAAATCAAAGGTTTCTTTAGGATACTCCAATTTTCGTATAGGCTATTCATTTTATAGCTAAAACAGACTTTTTAATACCTTCTAAAGTTATAAATTTTTAAACGACTTTTCCATGGAGGTTAAAATTATGATATTCCAAAACATTGACTTTTTATATATGTAGAGTACTAAATTATTCCTTCCCCACATCAGACATGCATGCATTTAAAAATGGCAAACTATGACAAGCTATGAAATTTGAAAAAACTGTTTTATGGAGATCTTAGCATAATAAAAGCTAGGGAAATTGAAATTTAAACATAAACACTAAAATCGAACGTAAAAGCCACCAACATGAATTTCCAGCATAATAGTGTTTTGGATTACAGCTGGGCCTGGTTGGTACCTGTACATGGGAGGGTCAACGAAATCAGGGGTGAAAAAAGCACGATACATCTCGCCAGTGATCACCAAAGCCAATTCATGCCTTCAATTCTACTTTCATTTGTACGGTAAAAATGTACGACTTAAGGTGGGTAGAATTAAAATACTAATAGCCAATACTATACTTTTTAAGAATTCGCTTATTAGGGAAAATCCTGTATGTCATAGTATGTGTAAGATAGGTAGTATTTAAGAAATAGAAAACATTTTCCGTGTTTCTAAACAGTTATACGAGCCGTAGGGTGAGTTTGTCCACGTTATTTCGAGTTTTGCCAAACTCCCCCAAGTGTTTCTATAGCTGTATAAAAACACAGGGAAAATGTTTTCTTTATAATTTGAATCATAAAGAGATTTTCTACAAATATTATAATTCGATTCAATTACAAATTCTCATTACATTATTTCGCTTGTCAAATTCGGTGGGTTAAGATTCCCGTGTTTCTATACAGTTTTATATTTATATTTATAGTACACGCGTGCTGATTGGTCGAGAAGCGTGTTTCTATTACTGTATAGAAACACGGGAATTTTCCCGCCGAACTTGGCAAGCGAAGCGATGTAATGAGAATTTGTAATTGAATCGAATTATAATATTTGTACAAAATCTTTTTATCGCGTTATATTATAAAAGAAATAGAAAACGTTTTTCCTGTGTTTCTATACAGTTATAGAAACACTTGTGGGAGTTTGGGAGAACTCGAAATAACGTGGAAAAACTCGCCCTACGGGCTCGTTTTCCCACTGATTATTTCTCGTTCTCCCAAACTCCCACGCGTGTTTCTATAACTGTATAGAAACACGGAAAATGTTTTCTATTTCTTAAATAGAAAGACGCTTCTCGACCAATCAGCACGCGCGTACTATAAATGTTATAATACAAATAAGAATGTGACGTAGTGCGATATCTTCCGAGGACTAAAAAAATCGTGATCGGTCGGGAGTTATTATCCGCCACCGTTTAGCAGTTTGTGGATATTCGCGATTTTTCAGTCAAAACAATACCGCTTATTTTCGTAAAATATAAAAACAATTAAACATCTAACAAATGGTTTTGCGCTAAATGAAGGGGCAAATGTCTATTTTGAGCTGGAAATACAAGTAGAAAAGATCCGTTTGATGTGCGTTTTCCGTTCAAGTATTTTGTCAGCAAAAACGCTAAAATATTTCAAAAGTTGCATGACATCATATTGCGCTTTGTAAAACGACATTTTGGGCAATATTTTCCATATCTTTCTTGTATTATTGAAAAAATTGCACCTTAATTGTTTTGTGAAAAATGCACAAAATTTGAACAAGTGAAGATCGGTGTCTAGTTTGTTTAGTCGTATAATTATATGTGCTATTAGGGTGCAGTTTATTTGTTATTACACCATCGCTTTGCTTAGAAAAGATTTCTGAAAGGGTAAATTTGAATTTTGAATTTTGAAAAAATGAAACCAATATTGAAGACTACATAAATGTTAGAAAAATGGCGTCGGCGACAACATTGCCACGAAAAACAAAATGACAAAGTTTGCCTTCTCCCCCACTTTTTGTCCTTAAGGTTTTGTTTTGTTCTTGCTCGACTTGCTATGTTGCTTGTATGGATCTCTGATCTAATTTTGATTGGGACGATAACGCCTTTTTCTGGTTCATATTTTATGTTGCAATAGCTGGATCCATAGTAGAGACGGATCATTCGTATGGACCAATGAAACTTAGCGACTGAAGCAAAACCTTTCTCGCTTTCCTTCCACAAGTTCGACTTAAAAGATGATTCATCCGAAGACTATAATTAAACCAGGTTGTTGCTAATGTGTTCCTAAATATCCTTCGAATTGTAGGTGTACGTGAAGTCTGGAGAAAAAGTTTTATATCCGGAGCATAGGTACCGCGAATACCCCAAAAGCTACCGCAAATACCCCAAAAGAGAGTGGTATAAAGCAATGATGGCTATAAAGAATCAAAGTGCTGCTTATCAGGTAAGTGTTCATCCAATCAGAATATTATTAAATCGAATTAACGTTTTTAAAAGTTCAACTAGTTAGAACAACAGCAGCTTTCTGCTATAGCTTTTAGTCTATTATTTAACATGGCTTTACTTGGGTTTGACGTGCAATACTTCTTGATGAAGTAACAAGTTCCAGGGGCCGGTTGCATGTATACGAAGGCTTGATATATATAGCGCTATCCACCGGATGGTGTTTTTTTCAATCGTTTTGAAATCGCCCGTTATTTGCTATAACTTTGATTAAATCTTTGTATTCCTAAGTCAAGAATCCATCTTAATCTTTGTTGGTTGAAAAGATGAAATTTTATTGCTTTTCGAGCATTTTTAAAACGGTTGAAAATATCCTGTGGATAGCGCTATCCAGCCTTCGTACAACCAGCCGCAGTTGTTTTGGGTAGTCGATGATGTGAGTGTTTTCAGAACAAGTTCTGTCAGTTCTTTTTTGCCTTAGAGTTTAATTAAATCAGTGCATGGCAATTATATAACAGGAGTTTAGATGTTTGTTGATAGCGCTATCTTCGTCTTTCACTGTAGGTTTGTGGACACTAATGTAGGTTTATGGACATGTAAACTCGTATCGACAATGTTGGATTCCGCTATTCACCGGATGGTGGTCTTTTCAATCGCTTTGAAATAGCCTGTTGTATGCTACAACTTTTATTAAATCTTGGTATTCCTAAATCAAGGATCCTCTTTAATGATTGTTTGTTCCAAAGATGAAATTTTATCGCTTTTCGAGCATCTTTAGAACGGTCGAAAAAACACTATCCGGATTTCATACAACTGGCCCTTGTTATACTACCACTGATTTAAACTCCAAATCTAACAAAGAACTAACAGAACTTGTTCTGACAAACACTAAAATCATCGCGAATATTTAAACAACTACAACTTGTTACTTTATAAAGAGCGACGCAAATCCATGCATGCTAAATAATAGACTAAAGGCTAGCAAATAGCTGCAGTTGTTTAACTGATACCGCTGAACAGAAGAACAGCGATTAAAAATTGAACTCGTTAAACAAAATTCGTTCCAATTGTTCACGCTTGCTATGCCTATGCACGCATACTTCGAATTGTACGCGCTTTATATAGTTAAATTGCGCAAAACCTTGTAAAAAATTCTGCTAAAGATGAATCGATCTTGATTCGAAATATGCACAATAAAATTGTATAAACTATATGCCAACATTCCTTTGGAATTCTATTATCAGAAAAGATCGTAAAACGCGAGGTGGTGGAGTTTTGCTGGGAATCAAGACCGCAATGTTTAACTCTGTGCGTGAAATCAAACACAATCATGACCTCGAAATTGCTATGGCTGAAGTAACAACTGCAAAAGACATAAAAATGCTTATTTGCTCATGTTACCGTCCACCAGATGCTGACAAAACTTGGATCGATAAATTTGAAACTTTTCTCCATGATGTTTGCACACGTCATTCAAAAATTGTAATTGCAGGCGATTTCAATTTCGCGCGCGCAGGCTGGAACTCGCGAGATAATTACACTGACGTTAATGAGAATCCATTTACGAAATTATTAAACGACTTTTTCTTGGAACAAATGAATAGATCTCCTACCAGAGGCGAAAACATTCTCGATCTTGTTATTACCACTGATCCCGACCGTGTGAAGATAATCGAAGTCTTGAAACCAAGTGATTCAGACATTTCCACCGACCACAATGCTATCATTTTCGATCTCTTCCTCTCATACAATCCTTTCCCTAAGTTAAAACGAACGGTGTTTGATTACCGACGCAGTGACTTCGATGGTCTTCGAAGGCATCTTCAAACCCTCGATCTCAGTCATCACATATCAGAGAATGGCGATATCAACCAGGATTGGATGGCGTGGAAAAATGCGTTTTTGGAAGCGGTATCGAAATTTGTGCCAACAAAAACACTCCGAGATCGAAACCATCTCCCTTGGATGAACAGCACGATACTTCATTACATCAAAAAGAAAAACTCCATTAGAACAAGGATTAAAAGATCCTGCCATCCAAGTGATCACCTCAAGAAAAGGTTTCGAGAGCTCCGCACGACAATCAAAAGAATGTTGCGTGATGGTCGCTTGGACTATATCAACTCCATATGTTCTTCTCGAGAGTACAATCCAAAACGTTTCTGGTCGTTTTTCAAGATTAAGTCGAAAGTTTCCAATATTCCATTAAAAGTCTCGGCAAAACTAGCGAAAATCAAAAGAATGTATTTCGATAATAACGCTGAGATTGCAAACACTTTTAACGAATACTTCGCATCGATCTTCACTAGCGACACCGCCAACGACTTCAATCCAGAACAGCATCCGGAACCGGACATTATTCTCGAAGACATTACTCTGACTAACGACGAGGTGTCAACGGTGTTAACTAAGTTGAATAACAATAAAGCTCAAGGTCCGGACGGAATCCCAGCACGATTGTTGACGGAAACCTCATTCCAAATCACTGCTTCACTATGCGCACTCTTCAACAAATCCCTACGTTGTGGTGTCCTTCCTGACGAGTGGAAGTTAGCAAATGTCGTGCCTGTATTTAAACGCGGTGAAAAATCGTACGTAGAAAACTACCGTCCAATTTCGTTGCTTCCTCTTGTCTCCAAAGTCCTCGAACGTTGCGTGTTCCACAACATCGAACATCACGTTTTTCAACAAATCAACCCTTGTCAACACGGTTTTGTCCGACGAAAGTCATGCGTGACCCAACTAATTGAAGTATTCGAAGAGATAGGCCGTAAATTAGACCATGGTAAGCAAATAGACGTAATCTACTTGGACATGTCGAAGGCATTCGATAAAGTAAGTCACGATCAGCTCTTGCACCGATTGCGCGAGTTCGGGTTTCGAGGTAACATTCTAAACTGGTTTTCATCTTATCTCAACAATCGTTATCAACAGACAGCAGTTGGTGGAGCAATATCAAGACCATTACCGGTGACATCTGGAGTCCCACAAGGCTCGATTCTCGGTCCACTACTGTTTCTCTTGTACGAAAACCACCTGTCGGAAAGCGTGGACAAATCTAGCATTGCAACCTTTGCAGACGACACAAAGATTTTTAGAACAGTCGACAATATGTGTGATGCATCCTCGCTTCAAGACGATCTAACAAATTTTAAAGAACTTTCTAGTAACGTTAACCTGATATTAAACGCTGAAAAATGTAAAGTTTTGCGAATAACCCGAAAACATCAGAAAATAGAATATCCCTACAAACTACATGATACCGTCCTAGAAAGCACCGATCAAGAGCGTGATTTAGGAGTATGGACTTCTTCCAATTTGACTTGGTCCAAACATGTTGAATACCAATGTGCTCAATCAACGAGAATGCTCGGATACGTTAGGAGGTCTACACTGGATATAAAATCTATCTTGGTTCGTCGTACTCTATATTTGTCTCTTGTACGTTCAAAGCTATGCTATGCATCTCAAGTCTGGGCGCCACAAACTGTGGAACTGATTAAACGGACGGAGAGAATTCAGAGGCGCGCGAGCAAGTATATCTTGGATCTACCATTTATCTGCGACATTACCTACAGTAGGCGACTCGAAATGTTAGACCTTATTCCACTCTGCTATTGGCACGAATTTTTGGATCTAGTGTTCTACTTTAAATGCATCAATGGGATGATAAAAGTTAAAGATAGTGTTCTACCATCAATTCAGAACCGGGAGAGATCAACACGATCAGCCAACCCCGCGTGTTTGACGTTCATCACACCAAAGTGCAAGACTGTAACATTCCAGAAGTCATTCTTTTCTAGGTGCGCAAGAGTATGGAATGTTCTTCCAAAAGGGCTGACAACGAAGAACATAAGCCTTTGTCGATTCAAAAACGATCTTTATAACTATTACCATTCTGCCTTGAATATATATGACGCCGAAAATCCTAGAACTTGGAAGTCTGTTTGTTTGTCTTGTAACGCGTCCCGTAATTTGTCTAATTCTAACTCATGCTGCTATTAATTCAAATGTGTGTCCTTGTGTTCGTTATGTCCAGCATTGTTACACGTAAATTTCCTTAAAGGTGGATCTTCCTGTGGGATGTGAGCAGTCATTTTACTCTCGGAGTACAATTCTATACTGCTCCTATCACGAGGAAGATTTTCCTAAGTGTGAACTATATATTGTGTGGAGATTGTATGATGTCTGTTTTATTTGTTTTGAAAGGGCTGCTGTAATTGGCGTGAGCTGTAGCAATACCCTGCCTCGATTATTGTGAATATTCATGCATTTGTATTGATTTTGTGCTGTTCGTGTTTGTAATATTGTATGTTGTATTCAAATGGCAAAGCATAATAAATAAATAAATAAATAAATAAATGAATTACTTTAATTCTATAATTATTTACTGAAACTATCTGCTGGTAAAGGATTCAGTTCTTTTCAACTTCACGAAACTTACCTATGAAATAACTAACTTATGAAATCACGTAAATATAATACCTCAATTATACTAAACACATAAAAAATATCATAAACTATAGCTATATATATAATATCTGATAATTTTGCGAACTTCTTACACGTAAGAAATAAGATTAACAGCTGCTTTAGGCATTACAAAATACAGCAATATTTTTATCATAGTTTTAGATCAAAACTTTTTTACACGATGCAGGATGACAGTTTTCTATGTATTCGTTATTATTTTGAATATTTTTACCTGATCCTATTGGCTAAAATGTGTTAACCTATATTTTTGGTTCAACTTTGTTACCTTGTAATTGTAGTTCGTTATCCAGGGTGAATTATTTGGCAATGCATATGGTTATATTGCCATTGATGACATCTGTCTCAGTATGGATTCGTGCAATGATATATACGCACTGTCTTTAAAAAAGGTAAATTTAAATGCAGGATGAATACAGGGTGTATCAAAAAACTGCAAATACCGTAATTTGTATGCAGGAGATTATACATTAGAATTCCAATAAAGAATGGGAAAATCCAAACTTACTAACTTTTTAAAATATCTGAACTTCTAAATCTATCTATATAAAGTAATGTATATATATATATATATATATATATATATATATATATATATATATATATATATATATATATATATATATAGTCTATTTGATATAAATTCTTGTTTTTGTTATATATTAGGATATTAGTTGTGGTTCAAGTAGCCGATTGTAAATTACCTTGATAAAGTGAGATTTGCAATTGTACTATGTAAAAACAAAAGTCAAATAAAGTTTTCATTATTATAATACAACTGCGGCCGCAGATGAAAGTTTATAGAATGACCCAACGGCCATCCAAAACTTGTCTTAGTG